AGAGAGAGAGAGAGGCAGAGGGAGTGAGAGCGAGCACGCAGAAAAGCAATAGCTGACAGAGAGAAGCAGCAATGGACAACCCTGGCCCTCAGCCTGGGGGAGGGGTGCACAGAGCAGGGGAGGGGCAGGAGGAGGGCTGGGTCCCACAGCCTCAGACACTCAGCAGCATTCCAGTGGCTGCTTAGCCCTGCCCCACCAATCCGCAGTCTGGCTGTTCAAGGGAGAGTGTGGCCCGAGACAGGCAGCTGAGACAGCCCTGCCAATGCTCTCTGCGACAGCTGAGCTACCAGTCCAGGCCTGGCTGGTTTTACTCTCCTTAATTAAGACACTTTTCAGGCTCACAAAGACCAAAGTGGGCCGGACATGAAGCCTCTTCCAAGGTGGCAAGCACCTGGGGTCCCTGGGGCCCTCCAGGGCAGCCGCTCTGAGCCTCTGCCCAGAGCCAAAGCTCCCAGGGGAGGCAGCTCCAAGTTTCTAGAATCTTAAGATTCAACATCATTGCCGCCCGTGGCTCCTGGTCTCCTGTCTGCTGTGACTGTGACGGCTCCCAGACCCAGCGGCTCCATCCCACCTGCTCATCGCCCCACCCTATGCTTTAGCCACGTGACCTTTTATTCCACAAAGGGCTGATCCTGGCTATTTCTGGCCTTCGATCTCACTGACCCCTGGGCTTGCACACTTTGCCCTGACCACTGCCCCCCCCCACCACCCCCACCCTTCCTTCCTCATCAGCCCTGAGTTTTCAGCTTAGCAGTCATTCCCCACAGGACCTCCTTCCTGATGCCTTGGAAATCCTGGGTTCAGGGCCCTGAGGAGGGGACCCCACAGCATCCCTGTCTGCCCAGCTCAGAGCTGGCACGTCTGCTCAGAAGCACTCACTGATGAGGATGGAAGGATGGATGGAAGAGACATGGGAGGGGGCCAGCGTCAAACGGCCAGAACAAACACAAAGCGAAGTGGGCGGGGGCAGGGCAGGCTGGGCACTCACCTTCTCAGTGACCAGGTCGTAGAGCAGGGTGACCACGCGGACAGCCAGCACCTCCGTGCCCTTCTCCTGCACCAGGCTCCTCAGGACGTGCAGCCCCCCCAGCTTCAGGAACTGCTGCTGGGCATAGGGGAAGTGGCGCAGCAGGGAGCACAGTGCGAACAGGACCTGGGGAGGCGCAGATCCAGATGGGGAGTGGGGAGGGACCACACACAGCTGGCCCTGCCCCAAGGCCCAGAAAAGGCAGCAAGAAGTGCGCTAATGACCCCAGTCCAGCCCCCATTCTTCCTGGCACCACCCACTACCCTCAGGTACAACTACACCCCAGTTCTGGGAAAGCCAGGAGAGGCGTGCGACACTTTAACATCACCCAGTGGACAAACAGAGGCCCAGGGCAGGAAGCCAGGGCATGGGACCTGAGACCACACCATGGGCACTGCACCCAGGCCTCCGGATGCCTTGGCATGCTGCTGTGCTGCTTGAGGTGAGTGGGATGGCTCCCACTCAGCCAGGGGATGACCACTCAGGCTCCCTAAGGTGACATGCACAGCCTAGAAAGGGCCCCTTGCCTTTCAGGCTCCACAGGTGTGCTTGGGGCTGGGCAGGAGGGAGCAGAAACCCACCTTCTTCTTTGCAGTGAGAGGCTGGTCCGTGGCCAGAATCACTAGCAGCTTCTGCAGGGCTCCCCCTTCGATGGCCTCCACCTGGACCTTTGGGTTGCTGGGGGGAGAGCAGAGGAAAGCATGACTTTGCACCTGTTCACCAACTGGGGGGGGGGCACCACTGTGCCCAGCCCAGGGAACTGACACCATACCAGTGAATCCTGGGGAGAAATGGTATACACCAAGCGGGGTTCCCACTCTGGACGAGCTAGAGCTTAGATGGGAAACAGAGACTACTTAGCGTGGATCCACCTGGGTACCATGACCTATGGCACAGACGACAGGACCGAGGGCTCCCATGCCAGTCTCCCACTCCTCCGCAGCCAATGGGCTGGGGTCATCCGAGAAGGGAAATCACCAATTCCATTTTAAGGTCCTCCTGATGCTGAAGGTGCTACTTCAGTATCCTCCTACGGAAAGCTCCCATGCTCCCCAAGCCCGTGTTGGGTGCTCCCCCTTCCATCACCCCAGGCACATCACTGAGGGGCAATTACTCGTGGGTCCTAGGAGCACGGACATTCCTCTTCTCTCAGCTCCTAGGTGGAGTGCACATGCACACACCACAGCACACAGTAAATGCTCAGGGGAGGGAGGCAGGAAGGAAGCACAAGGTCCAGGGAGCCTCTGAATCCCCGAGCAGATCCAAAAACAGGACCAACCCAGTGCCTCCCCACCAGACTCCATTCTGTGAGCAACTACTGTGATTTTCTCTGTCCTGTATTCTCAGCGCTCAGCACAGAGCCTGCCATGTCATAGGGCCTCAGACAATAGGGAATGAATGAATAAACACATGTATACAACCCTGACTGTGCCAACCAACAAACGAGCAACACTGAAACATTCAGAAGCCAGAGCTGCCTCTGGAACGCCTCTCCCCCTTCTGGGCTAGAGAAAGAGTGATGAGATTCAAGCAAACATTGCAGGCACAGCCCTCCTGGTTGAAAGGATGCGGGGTATGGAAGGTGAGACCTCCGTTAGGGCAGGGTGCCAGGCACGGGACATGGCTGGGAACCCCAGCAGGATACCCTTCTCCCGGATCCTTGCTTTCTCAGATCAAATGAGCAATCAATTAAGGGACAAATGCCAAGCACAGGGACCTATGTAGTCAGGCCCTTGAGGAAGGTGAAGGCTCCCTCACCAGCTACTTACAAGGCTTCGGAGAAGAGAGGCAGCAGGCGCACAGGAAGCCTGAGGCCAGCAGCAAGAGAAGGGGCCAGAGCAGGGGCCAGACAGCCCGCCAGGAGCACCAAGTCTCCACCAGGCTCTGGCTGTCTTCCCTTAACATGCCACCAGCTCCCTAGAGACCCGAAAGCACCTGTTCCTCCCACCAACCTTGGCAGGGGGTCCTCATGGCCTTCTGGAGAACGAGGCAGGGTATAGACAAATCAGAGGGAGCTGGCTCCTGGTCCAAAACCCAGAGAAAAGGGGAGATGGGTAATAAGAAAGCACGCACACTGCTGCTTGTAGGAGAGGGTTTGGCACACAGCAGGTGCTCCATTAAAGCTGGCCGAATGGCATGTTGGTGGGGCCCAAGTGAGTCGTAGATGGCCTACCCTTTCTTCCTACCAGGCACCAGCTTCAAGGTTCAAAGCAGATATGGCATGTTGAGCCAGTTTTCCTGCTGTAAAATGGAAGGTGCCTTCATCCCCAAGTCCCTCGGCATCCTTTCAGCCAGAAAGGACGTGCAGGGTGGGTTCTGACCTGTCCTACTGCAGCTCCACTCATGTCTGAGGAGCAGCCTGGAGTCAGGCTGGGGTCTCTGGGGACTCCAGAGACTGACAGGCAGGTGGGTTCCAATGCATGGGGGCCTGGGAGCTGAGCCTCTCCCCTGCCCCTGCTCCCCCAACTTGAGAAAGGCAGCTGTTTCATCAAAGCGTGAGCTAATTAGGGCTGTCTCTGCCGACATGTGCCTGAGGAATGCTCATCACAACAGGCAGGGTCTAGGAAAAGACAAAGACCCGCTGAGAAGTTCACACAAACGTCAACGCTGCCTTCCAAGGAAGGGGGGCCTGTGTGGCATGACATGGCATCAGCCTCAGGGACTGCCACTGAGGAGCCCCATCCTCACGGGCCCTCAGAGTGACAGAGACAAGGCCCTGCAAAGACAGCACGCGAAGCTTCGCCTTGTCTACAGATCTGCTGAGAACAAGACCCAGAGACAAAACAAGCATCCCGCTAACTAGGAAGATGAGATCGGAGCTCAGGAACAGAGAGGGTATCCAAGGACACGCGGTATGAGCACACTGGGTCCAGGGACCCACCTGGGCACCTCCCAGAGTAGCAGCCTGTCACCAACATGAGGTAGTATTGGGGGAGGGGACAAACAATAGGCAGGAGACTTGGGCTCTGACTGCCCACCCAGGTCTTGCCTGGTAGAAGGGGAGAGAAGACTCAAACCCATAAAGGGAACCAAAGCACAAACAGCAGGGGCAAAGGGGATAGGCACATGCTATGTAGGCACATCCTTGGGCTCCTCCAGAGAAAGAATAAGCTGACTGGAAGTAAAGAAAAGATGCCAAAAGCCAGTAAGAGATATGGCTTCCCTGGTACTTCTGGTCCAAGGGAGCACCAGTGTGGGCTAGAGGGCCTGACGCTGTCCTAGGAAACATGGAGAGGCAAGCCACCACCAGGTAATTGCTCAGAGAAGTGCATGCACAGGACAGATCCTTAGGGAAGCTCAGCCGGCTCTCTGCCACTCAACACTGAACAAGCCAGAATCCACACATATGAGGGGCCTCACCACCAGATTCTACTTACAGATTTCAGAGTGAGTGAGTGATTGGTGAATGAATGAATGAATGAATGAATGAATGAATGAATGAATGAATGAATGGCTATGTAACTTTAGGCCAAACCAGATGGCTCTGAACCTAAGGTCTGTAGGGGTTCGGAAAATGAAGAGGAAAGTCTGGGCTAGAAGAGCCAGAAGGGCTGTATGGGAGAGGTCAGACTGCAGGCAGCTGGAGTAGAGGTGAGAAAAACAGTGTGCGTAGAGGAGAAAGGGCAGATGCTGAGGGAACAGCATGAGCACCTGTGGAGAGGCAAGGAGGCCTTTCAGTGGGAGGCTGCCTTGAAGAGTCATTGAAAATGGGGCCGAAAGGAGGCCGGCCGAGTGGCTCAGTTGGTTAAGAGCTCGCTTAAGCGTGTGAGCTCTGAGCAACAGCGGTTCAAGTCCCAGCCCGAGCTGAGCTGCCAACAGGTGGCAGGATGGCTCAGCTAAAAAAAAAAAAAAGAGAGAGAGAGAGAAGGAAAATGGGGCCGTGAGGTGCAGCTGATACCACCAGGAGGCCAGGCTGGTCCCAGTACCAAGGAGGCCTGTTGGCTGGACCAAGAAAGGATTACACGGGACCCAAACACTGTCCAGCAGACAGACCCTGCTCCTGCTTCTCCCTCCTCAGCCCACATCCAAGGCAAAACGGGAGTCGGAAACAAGTGCCTCCGGGCACATAGACACCAGGGAGAACCCAGGAGCAAGGCAATGACCCTAGGGACAGGAGATAAGCTAGGGGGACACTCTGAGCCGGGCAGAAGCCACTGCGCCCAGGTCAGGTTGATTCTGGCAATGTGGTCTGTGCCTATATCTGCTCGGCAGCCTTCTTTCCCGCTTCCCAGCACTGACACCCTTTGCCCACTTCCTCTGAGACACTGCCGCCTCTCCCACTCCATGTGGTACTGATGGAGTGGGTCCCAACTCCCCAGGCTACAGGGGAGGGCCTGTGGCCCAATGCTGACCCATTATAGCCCCCCCATCACAGGGCCTCAGTGGGTGGCCCAGGACTGGGCAATCAGAGCCCCTCAGTCTCTTACACTGGAGTCAGGACAGAGAAAAGTTCTCTTCTTCACAAGGTAGGTGGCTGGAAGCCAGAAGCATCTACAGCCATGCCAGCAGGGGCCCAGTCCCGCCCCATCCCCATGGGGGAAGCCCATTTAGATTACAAGAGAATAGAGCTCATACACGGTAGAAAGGAAACCAGAGAGAAGGAGAAAGCCTGACGCCTTCTGTCACTTGCTGAAATCACTTTCATAAGGCAATAAATCTACTTTTTCACCTGCAGCCATCCTGAAGGGCCTGGGTGAGTAGGGCAGGACCATGGGCCAAATGTGGGTGTGACCAAGCGGCCTCAGCAGCCCTGGGCCCGCACGGACCTGACCAGCTTAAACGAGGGACTCCACACAACCCTGGGCCCTGCCCCAGACTTCAGCGTTCCAGACACTTCAGGAGTTCCATATAATACCCTCTGAAGTTAGCCTTTTAGTGCTGCCCACTCAAAGGGCTGAGGAAACACAGCAGAGGGAGGTGGGAAAGACATGGCTTACGTTTCCAGATGGCATTCAGTCCATCCAGGCAGGGGCAACAGAAGCAAAGCCTGTTGTTTCTTGAGCAATCTGCCCTGGAGGGGCAGACACCAACACGCTCTCCGAGTCTCTCTCTTTCCAGGCAGCTCTGCCTTGGGCTCTGAATGCTCACTGCTGTGTGCTTTGGGGGGAGAAAAGGCCCAAAATAGCTTAGATGGAGGTCTAGGGAATGTGCCAGACATGGAGAACCCTCGGTGAGAACTCCTGTGAACAATGACTGATGACCTTGGGCAAGTCCCTTCACTTTGGTGTCCTCGCCTGAGAAGCAGAGTTAAAACTATCTTGTGTTTAAGAGAGCACAGCGAATAATGCCAAAATGCTGGTCGATGCATGTGACTGAAAGGTTATGATTATCGTGGGTTTGCTACGCAGAGGCCAGACCATATCCTTGAGAAGGCAGCTTTCTTCAGCCCAGATGCCTTGGGTACATACACACTGGCCTCGTCCACCTCCCCGCCTACACGTTCAGGATCAGGACTGCAGGGTTGGGGTGGGGTGTCTTACTGGCTGGAAGGTGGGTGTCCTGACAGTTGGGGAATTGAGTGAGTTAAAAGGGCAGGGGCCTAGCATGCCTCTTAGTGACAACAGTGGCGCCGGAGTACTCAAAGTCAACAGAAGGATATTAAGGACGTAGCTCGTCTCCGACGAGATAAATGAGAATAAACCTCGTTCAGGGCTAAGCCGGCTGGACTGAATAAATAC